AAAAGTCAGGAGTCATTTATTTCACCAACATACCTCCTTCCTCTTATGGGGAGGTAACTGACGCGCTGTACAGCCAGTTTTAGAGAACTTCCAGGAACGAAAGACCTCTTAACCGTTAATCTATGTACAGTAAATATACTTTTCAAAGAAAGAAGCATTGTTCAAACATAACTTTAACTGTCCTAGGGTCGGCTTGGTCAGGGTAAGTTTGAACGCTTTTTACCGTCAATAGTCTTAGTTTTGGGGTAATATTCATGGTACTCCTTTGCCATTAACCATTATATGGTTACTTCACTTCCTTCATACTCCGCCTTGTCTTGTTCCTGGGGATAAATCGACTAAACAGCACAACCATTGTGCCAGAAGTTCTGTCATGTTTCCAAAGTTAATGAGAATAACTTAAGGCAAACGATTTAAAGTACTCTAAAGAAATTTACCCCAAAAGCTATGGTAAAGATATAAATATCATAAACATTTATTATTTTTTCGCTCCACACACACACTACTACTACTACTACTACTAACGTGGCCTCCAGCCTCCCCCAATAGCCACACCTTCGCCACCATTTATTTACCTTAATATTAAATATCCTAATACATAAGAAGCTATCCTATCTGTGTTAAATTAGTTGAGCCGCAGATCTATGCGGCATTCAGTGATTGTAGCCTCGTAGTCGATATCTGCAGCAGTTGTCGGAATTGGGGCAGAAGCTCTCGTTCCCCTGAGGCAGAGCAAAGCCGACCGAAGGAGAGAGAAAGACAGTCGACATCTCATCCAGGCTGTAACAAAACTTCTGGGCTGCTGCTTCTGTTCGGAGATCACCTCCGCGAGTCTGGCGTAGAAACATCTTGCACTTGGTCCCATCCCACCAGAGGTTGTGAACACTAGGGGAGTGAAGCTGCCTTGGTCAACGTTTTGGATTCTCTCCCCATATGCCCTTATCTTGTCGTTCTCGTTCCTCCTATGTGCAGCATCGAGAGCTAGGTTACGGTGACATGCGGCCATGGGATAAAAAATCCTGATGTCGAAGAAAGCTCGCTGTCCTCGCGTCCAGAATCCTCGAGCACTGACGTCAACATGGGCTTCGTTAGATGTGTTTGAAGTCCTATGTTGGAGGATCTCACCATCCAATGGAAGGAGGGTCGGTTCTACCATGACATCCCGGCAGATTTCCTTCAACATATTTGCTGTAAGGTCCCTTACTTCATCATGCCTCATGCATATGAAGCCCCCTTTCTAGCACACCATGGCGTGATCGCCGTCATAGGAAGAGCCACACACGCATTGGGAGGGCAAACCTTCTACTGGCCGACCGTACCTTAGAGCAATGGCATCTGTAAATTCTTGTTTGTTAAGACTGAAACCATTTGCCCTTATCGGTAACATAGTTAACCAGTTCGAGGCGCCCACCTCCTGCGCTATAGCTACTTTTTTTTTTTTAATTTTCTGGAACCTGCAGCAACAGTTGCTGCAACTACTACTGCTGCTGCTACTTTCCTTTCGCTCGGAATCGGGTATGATGATCATCAGACTATGATACAATGATATGAGTTATTAAAGACGTCTCCTTCGTTAGTGAGCTCTGAGGTGACTAGAGAGGCCGATACGGGACCGGTAGGGCCGTCCACAGATATTGCATTTGTGGAGGGTTACATAGTGTGCAGGTGGGGGGTCGACAGTGTCTTTCCGGCGCTGGCGTTTGTTTGCCTCGGTATGCAGTCGGGCTTACTCGAAATTATTAAAACCTTCTCGTGTGGTGCTCCTCCAAGCGTTACGGTGTGGAGTGATCGTCTCCCAGGTGAGGGCGTCGATTTGGCACTTTTTCAGGTTTGTCTTAAGACTCTCCATATACCTTTTCTGTTGCCCGCCAGAGTTACATTTGGCATTCGTTAGGTGACTGTGCAGGTATAGTAACTGCTTTGACAGTCTACTATCGTCCATGTAGGTAACATGGCCAGTCCAACGTAGTTGTTCATGGATAATGGTAGCCTCGATGCTCCTACAATTGGTGTCAACGAGAATACAGGCATTTATTTTTTTTGTCTTCAGAGTAAACACAGAGGATGGAACGTCGACTACGTTGGTAAACTTTTTCAAGTGTCTTGAGGTGCCTCCCGTGTGACCCATGTCTCGCTGCCATACAGCTGCGTGGGGAGGGCCACTGACTGATATACTGTACGTGCAGCTTTGTAGATAATTTCAGCTCCCTACAGTGGAAGACACGGGTACGGAGTCGGCTAAAGACTTTGAGATGCTCATCTGATCCGAAGTTGAATTTCTTCATCGATGTCCACTTTGGTGGACAGGTGGGAGCCGAGATACTGAAAGTGGGTAGCATTAGAGAGGGTAGTACCGTTAAATTGGATGGATGGTGGAGGTGTGTCTGAACCTGGGACAGGTGTGAAAGAGAATCTGAGTCTTACGTATATTCACCTCAAAGCAGAAATGTGCACACGCACCTGCATAGGTGTTCAGGATTTCCTGTAGGTCACGTTCTGTGTGAGTGATGAGGGTGAGGTCGTCTGCATACTGAAGTTCAGTGATGGAAGTTGCCGACACCTTTGTTCCTGCCAGGGTCTGGGGTCGTCTTATGTTGAAAAGTCCCTTCATCGGGTACTGAAAGTCCACCCTGCCGGCCAAATTGGCACTGGCACAAGTGAAGAAGGTTGCAAAGAAAATAAAAAAGAGAGTTGGTGCCAGTACACATCCTTGTTTTAGCCCTGTTTGGATGGGGAAAAACTCAGACTGGGTGCCATTATGTAGGACATTGCCGTTTATGCCATCGTGGAGTTGCCTCTCAATGGCGATGAATTTTGGTGGACAACCGAAATGAGTGAGGGTCTGCAAGAGGGCTTCCCTTTTGACAGGGGTTAAAGGCTATAGTAAGGTAGATGAAGGCCATGTACAAGTCACGACGCTGTTCTCTGCACTTTTCCTGTATCTGGCGGGCAGCAACGATAATGTCAATGGAGCCAAGTGATGGTCTAAAGTCAATATGAGATTTGGGGAGGAAGTTTTCCGCCTCAGGAAGAAGTCTGTTTAGGAGGACTCGGGCGATAATCTTGCCAGCAACGGACAGCAGCGAGATCCCGCGGTAGTTGGCACAGTCTGTCGGTTTTCATTGTGTTTATAAACATTGACTATGAAGGCGTCTCTAAGATCTTTGGGGAGTTCCTCCTTCTCCCATTATTATATTCTCCTGGAGAGAATGGAGACAGCTGGCAAAGAGGTCCTCCTGTTTTATACACCTCAGCTGGGATTCCATCAGGTCCTGTGGCTTTGTTATATTTCATCTTCTTAACGGCAGTAGCTCTGCCTCATCCCTGGATGGAGGATAGCTGAAGTGGGTCAGCTCTGGATGCTGAGGGACCTGCTGGGAAGTCAGAACATTTTCATCGGTGTTTCGGTTGAGCAACAAATGGTAGTGCTCTTTCCTGTGCTGACGGATGTTTCCTTAAGTCTTTAATTAGCGAGTTTCCGTCGGATGAGCGGAGTAGAACCGTTCCATAAATAATTGATCCATACGTTGTTTCAGTGGAATTGAAAATTTCACTTATCTTGTGTACATCCGCAAGTTTTTGCGTTTCCCACGCTTTATTTTTCTACCATCTGTTCTTTCGGTTGCGAAGTCCACGCTGGGCCATCGCTTTCATCTGGTGGAAGGTCCCAACTTTGGCCCGAGACTGAGGGCTGTTCTACCAATCAGTGAAAGCAGCATGTTTATCATTGACGCTACATTTATTTTCTGGTTACCTCTATCAAACCAATCCTAGTGTTTTCTTTCGATTTGGCCGAGGGTCTCGTTGCAGGTTTTTGTGATGACAGCATCGAGGATCCCCCATTCAGCGCTCGGATTTAGGTTGTTTGCTGTTGAGTTATATATCAGCCCATAGTCGAGCTGCTCTCTGAAAGCATGTGCTACCGCTTGATCCTCCAGACGCTTGGTGTGAAGTGAGAGCTTGGCTCTGACGGGCCGATGATCTGTGTTACAATGGTTTAAGCCACACATGACTCGGGTGATGAGGACATCTCGGCGATCTCTTTCACTGACAATTATATAAATCAATGCGATGCGAATATTTGGATCGTGGGTGTTGCCAAGAACCCTTGAACTTGTCGGCTTGCCTAAACAAGGTGTTGGTGATAGTGAGGTTGTGTTCAACACATTTGCTGAGGAGGAATAGGCCAGCGGGATTACACTTGCCCACTCCATTTCCCCCTGTGGTTCCCTGCCATAAGTTAGCACATCTGCCAACCCTGGCATTGAAGTCACCAAGGAGCATAATCTTACCTTCTCCGGGGATAGATGTTAGCACTCTATCAAGGTCGGCATAAAAGGCCTCCTTGATGTCATCTACTGCATCCAGTGTTGGGGTTTATGCAATGATGAGGAGGGCATGGCGTGAGTGATTCAGTGGGACTCGGAGCGTCATGAGACGGTCATTGATCCCAACAGGCATTTCAGTTAGCCTATGTAGGATGGACTGGCGAATGGCAAAGCAAACTTCCTAAATGCGGTTCCTCTCTGCAGCAGGCTTACCCTTCCAGAAGAAGGTATAGCCAGACCCCCGTTCTGTGAGTCAAACATCATCTGGGAGCCAGGACACTCACACACACACACACACACACACACACACACACACACACACACACACACACACACACACACACACAAACACACACGACACAGGTATGTAAATGCTTCTGTAGTCTTCTCTCCACTGCACAACGGTGGTGCCAGTATGCTAATCAGTGTCAATGCCTGTTGTAATATGTTGACGTTATGGAATTGTTGAGCTAAGTCGGTAACCCAACATGACGTCGATGGCCATCCATAAAATTCTTTTAATCTTCTTCTTTTTCCTACAGTACTGTTCGAGTTTACAATGTTGGCTAACTAGTGCAAATCTCCAATTGCACCGTGGACGAATGTTCACAAAAACTTAAATTATTTCTTTAGTCAGTTGTAGTTATTGACATCATCTGGGTTCATCCGCAGGTTCTGGAAGAAGGTGTTTGTTAAGCTGACGGACGGCTCTGGTCTGCAGCTCTTCAACAGTAAGGATGACAAGGACCCCTTCCAGGAGCTACCTCTTCAGGCCTGCTACTCTGTCTCTGATATAGGTCAGTCTCCTCCCCTTGCACCACCCATCACTCTCCCTCATTATCCATCACTCCCTCTCACCATTCATCACTCTCTCTCACCACCCATCACTCTCCCCATCACGCATCACTCTCCCTCACCACCCATCACTCTCCCTCACCATTCCATCACTCTCCCCACCACCCATCACTCTCCATCACCACCCATCACTCTCCTCACCACCCATCACTCTCCCTCACCATTCCATCACTCTCCCCACCACCAATCACTCTCCCTCACCATCCCATCACTCTCCCCACCATCCCCACTTCCCCACCACCCATCACTCCACCACCCATCACTCTCCATCACTCTCACCATCCCATCACTCCCACCACCCATCACTCTCCTCACCATTCCATCACTCCCCCACCCATCACTCTCCCTCACCACCCATCACTCTCCCCACCACCCATCACTCTCCCCACCACCCATCACTCTCCCTCACCACCCATCACCTCGTAGTATATGATGTTTTCTGTGTGTCAACTTGAGAACTGTCATATCTGTTTACGTCTGGAGCCTCAGTCTTACAGCACTTTCCTTACCTTGCTTCTGTAGAGTGAGCTAATGTGACCTGTTAGTTGAAATAATGGTGAGAGAAATATTTGATACTTTTATCCAGACCAGCTGAAGATTAGAGTCCCCCCCCCCCTCCCCAACGACCTTAGTTCACCTTCAGGTTAAAACACCCTAATGCTAGAAAAACCAACTCTAACCTACTCTAATGTATTGTAAACTAACCCAGTCTAACTTAACCTAACCTAAACTAACCTAACGTAATCTAACATAATCTAACTTAATCTTACCTACTCCTAACCTAACCTAACCCAACCTAATCTGGCTCCCTCGGGTACTGTTAGGGTGTTTAATCACCAGGTTGAAATAAGCTGTTATAATTAGGAATATATATATATATATATATATATATATATATATATATATATATATATATATATATATATATATATATATATATATATATATATATATATATATATATATATATTACAATTGAGAAGGTGCCATTCCCGGTACAACCTCATCCCTCTGCCCATCATCACAGGAGCCCAGCAATTTGATCAGTTCGGCAAAATCTTCACCGTCAAAGTACAGTACATCTTCTACAAGGAGCGCCCTGGTGTACGACCCGGCCAGGTCTCCAAAGCAGAAAGACTCACCACCAGGATCTCCAAGTTTGCTCAGCACGCCATCGCCGGCGACTACGAGCACGTGAAGGAGTTTGCCAGCGACGTGCGCAAGCTGGGTATGCCCGTCGAGCACGCCCCTCAGATCTCTCAACTCCTCAAACTCGGCACCCAGAATTACGAAGACCTCAAGGTAAAGGGGACGTAAGAAATGGCCTGGCATAATTTAATGGTGAACTGGGATAACTTTCTATGGTCTGGGATAACTTACTATCTGGGATAATTCAGAATGGTCTTGGATAACTTTGTATGGTCTGTAGTAACTTAGAATAATCTGGGATAACTTTACACGGTCTATGATAACTTAGAATAGTCTTGGATAACTTAACACGTTCAAGGATAACTTAACATGGTCCAGGACAATTTTATATGGTCTGGGATAACTTAAAATGGTTTGGGATAACAGAAGTAGCCAGTGAAAACATAAATATCCAGGGACAACAGTAATGGCTACGGTCAACAAAAACAGCCCGAGTCGACGGATATAGCCAGGGACAACAGATAAAGCCAGGGACAACAGACAAAGCCAGGGACAACAGATAAAGTCGGGGATAACAGATAAAGCCAGGGACAACAGATAAAGCCGGGGACAACAGATAAAGCCGGGGACAACAGATAAAGCCAGGGACAACAGATAAAGTCGGGGACAACAGATAAAGCCAGGGACAACAGATAAAGCCAGGGATAACAGAAATAACCAGATATAACCAGAGACAACAGAAATAGTTAGAGACAACAGAAATAGCTAGCGACAGCAGAAATAGCCAAATACAACAGGTGTAGCTAGGGACAACAGAAGTAGCCAGGAACAACAGAAATAACCAAGGACAACAGCTATAGCCAGGGACAACAGAAATAGCCATCGACAAAGAAATAGCAAAGGACAACAGAAGTAGCCAGGGACAACAGAAATAGCCAGGGACAACAGAAATAGCCAGGGACAACAGAAATAGCCATCGACAAAGAAATAGCAAAGGACAACAGAAGTAGCCAGGGACAACAGAAATAGCCAGGGACAACAGAAATAGCCAGGGACAACAGAAATAGCCAGACACAACAAAAGTACAGTACTCATATTAACAGCTGCTATTCTTTGAGTAAAGGAAGAGAACAGGAAACCTACCGAGCGTGGAAGTAAAAACTGAAAGACATCAAAATCTCTCTCCCTCTCTCTCTTCTTGTTTGTCCAGTTGTTCGCGTCGCTTGTAGAGGAGCAGCTGTTCATCCTCACCGTACACAGAGACCGCGCCCTTAACTACAAGTCGGAAGAGGTGCAGTTGACGGCGGTGGATGAGATTTACGTGGAGCAAGACGCTAAGAATGTTGTTCACAGGATGATCGCCAGGGTCAGGGTATTCTTCCTGGGCTTCATCTCAGGTTCGTCTACCCCCTTCAGCACACACCTTATCTCTCGTACTCTCTTCATATTTCATGAATTATGAGTAAAAAGATTCCAATCGCTTTTACATTTATTGACCTATGTTGTGTAAGAGATTACAACATATTTTAATACATGGTTCACAAGTAATACCTACTGTACTGCGTGTGGTGTTGCAGGTATGCCAGAAGTGGACCTGGGTATTAACGACATGAGGAAACAAGGGCGTGAGGTGGTGGGCCGACACGACATCATCCCAGTCGTCACAGAAGAGTGGATCCGCCTTGAGGCTGTTGAGTTCCACTGTTGTGTCAATAGCGAGGAGTTTGAAACGACTCAACACATCAAGTGAGTGTACATTATATATCAACGCTCATATGAGGTGTTTCCTGCGACGGTGTACATGATCACGATGGGTACTCAGTGAACATACAAGATAGGTGGTACATAGATACTTACGAGTAGTGATTATCGTTTGTCATCATCAATAAATCTGTTAAATGAAATAGACACTCAAATTTCGCTGCACTTTCTTCATATTGCAAGCGTGGGCGGACCAAACTTTGCCATGACGAATAGAAGTTTCGTGCTTTACGCTGCCTTAAAGCTCTCTCTCTCTCTCTCTCTCTCTCTCTCTCTCTCTCTCTCTCTCTCTCTCTCTCATATATATAGATCTGTATGTGTGTAGTCTGTTATAATATCAAAAGTACTTTAATATGACTTGTCTTCTTGCGATAACTCTTTGATAACAATAAACCGGCCTAAAGCATACATCTTCCTACATTATGAGCTGGAGCTGTCTACCATTCATGATAGTTTCACATTCATGATAAACTTGGCAGCATACACTTCCTTCACAATCAAAATGTTGACTTCTGCCTTCATGCATATTTGACATTTACTAAAGCTCTTTATTATATTTTAATCTATGTATACATTTGTATTTTTTTTTCTTTTTTTTACGGGGATTAACCCACCCGGGCACAAGGCACTGACCCACATTGGGGCCTGGGGGGCGAAAATATAATAATAATAATAATAATAATAATAATAATAATAATAATAATAATAATAATAATAATAATAATAATAATAATAATCTATAGTAAATAAAATTTATAATAAAAAATACAATTTGAAAACAAAAAATAAAATAAGCATGATAATAAGAATAATAACAACACTGTATTAATAATAATAATAATAATAATAATAATAATAATAATTATAATAATAATAAAGAAATAAAAAAAATAAATAAAGAACATCAAAAGTGAGAAACAATACAGTATATGTATGTTGTGTTGTCAATAGTAAGAGAAACAATTGAGACCCTGCAATTGTGTGTAAATGAGGCAGAAAGTCAGATCAGCAACCTGGAACTTGGTCACAATTTTCGTGATGCCATATGGCAGCAGGGTCTACCATTAGACAACACATTATGCTTCCTATATCTTCCCAGGCGATAGTACCTCCCTGTTTGGTAGCTGCTTAGTACCTACTTCCTCCAAAATTTATACATATACCTCGGTAATATATAAAATATATAATGGTAAGCCCATTCATATATTTATACACCTGCAATGTATAAGTCATTTAGTAAGTTCATTAAATCATTTTATTCTACAAATACATTAGTAAGATAATTTATACATCGGTTATGTATAAATCCACTAGTAAGCCCGTTTATACATACGAATGAATGCATCACGAAACTCATTTGTTCATATGTAATGTAATGTGTCGGTACTCGGTAACTTCATTTACAGATCGACCCTGAAGGAAATAAAGATAGAATGGCTTTATTGGGCTTACAGATTACCATTAGATGTATACCTGCACTATGTACACTGTTGTATACCTGCACTATGAACACTGTATACCTGCACTATGTACACTGTATACCTGCACTATATACACTGTTGTATACCTGCACTATTTACACTGTATACCTGCACTATGTACAATGTATACCTGCACTATGTACAATGTATACCTGCACTATGTATACTGTTGTATACCTGCACTATGTACACTGTATGCCTGCACTATGTACACTGTATACCTGCGCTATGTACACTGTATGCCTGCACTATGTACACTGTATACCTGCACTATGTACACTGTATACCTGCGCTATGTACACTGTATGCCTGCACTATGTACACTGTATACCTGCACTATGTACACTGTATACCTGCACTATGTACACTGTATGCCTGCACTATGTACATTGTATACCTGCACTATGTACACTGTATGCCTGCACTATGTACACTGTATACCTGCACTATATACACTGTTGTATACCTGCACTATTTATACTGTATACCTGCACTATGTACAATGTATACCTGCACTATGTACAATGTATACCACTATGTATACTGTTGCATACCTGCACTATGTACACTGTATACCCGCACCATGTATACTGTTGTATACCTGCACTATGTACACTGTATACCCGCACTATGTACACTGTATACCTGCACTATGTACAATGTATACCTACACTATGTACACTGTATACCTGCACTATGTATACTGTTGTATACCTGCACTATTTACACTGTATACCTGCACTATGTACACTGTATACCTGCACTATGTATACTGTTGTATACCTGCACTATTTACACTGTATACCTGCACTATGTACACTGTATACCTGCACTATGTATACTGTTGTATACCTGCACTATTTACACTGTATACCTGCACTATGTACACTGTATACCTGCACTATGCACACTGTATACCTGCACTATGTACACTGTATACCTGCGCTATGAACACTGTATACCTGCACTTTGTACACTATTTGTATACCTGCACTATGTACACTGTTGTATACCTGCACTATGTACACTGTTGTATACCTGCACTATGTACACTGTTGTATACCTGCACTATGTACATAAGAACATAAGCACATAAGAACGGAGGAAACTGCAGCGGGCATATTGGCCCATACTGGGCAGTTCTATTTACACCCAACCCCTATTGCTCATATAAGCATCCAACCTATTTTTGAAGCTATTCAGTGTATTCGAGCTAATGATGATATTTGGTAACTTGTTCCATTCATCCACTACTCTATTTTAAAACCAATGTTTACCTATCTCGCTCCTAAATCAAAATTTGTCTATTTTAAAACCATTGTTACGAGTACGCTTCTGGTTGGATAGTTTGAGTACCTTTGTAATGTCCCCTTTGTTTAGCCCCGACTTCCATTTATACACCTCTATCAGGTCGCCCCTCGCTCTAAGTCTCTCGAGGGAGTGCAAATTAAGATGCTTTAACCTGTCTCTGTACTCAAGGTTCCTAATGCCCGGGATTAGTCTTGTCATTCTCCTCTGGATTCTTTCCAAGGATTCTATATCCATTCTGTAATACGGTGACCAGAACTGCACTGCGTAATCCAGGTGAGGTCTCACAAGCGCAAGATATAATATTAAGATGACCTCGCTAGTCTTGTAACTAACACTCCTTTGTATGAACCCAAGTACTTTATTATGCTTGTTTCGAGCAATAAACAACATTGTGTACACTGTATACCTGCACTATGTACACTGTATACCTTCACTATGTACACTGTATACCTGCACTATGTACACTGTTTGTATACCTGCACAATGTACGCTATATACCTTCAATATGCACACTGTACAGTATACCTGCCCTTTGTACACTGTATACCTGCACTATGTACACAATATGCCTGCACTATGTACACTGTATACCTGAACTATGTACACTGTTTTTATACCTGCACTGTGTACACTGTATACCTGCACTATGTACACTGTATACCTGCCCTATGTACACTGTATACCTGTACTATGTACACTGTATACCTGCACTATGTATACTGTATACCTGCAATATGTACACTGTTTGTATACCTGCACTATGTACACCGTATCCCTGCACTATGTACACTGTATACCTGCACTATGTACACTGTTTGTATACCTGCACTATGTACACTGTATACCTGCACTATGTACACTGTTTATACACCTGCCTTATGTACACTGTATACCTGCGCTATGTACACTGTATACCTGCATTTTTTACACTGTATACCTGCAATATGTACACTGTATACCTGCACTATGTACACTGTATACCTGCACTATGTACACTGTATACCTGCACTATGTACGCTGTTTGTATACCTGCATTATGTACACTGTGTACCTGCACTATGTACACTGTTTGTATACCTGCATTATGTATACTGTATACCTGTACTATGTACACTGTATACCTGCATTATGTACACTGTTTGTGTACCTGCACTATGTACACTGTATACCTGCACTATGTACATTGTATACCTGCATTATGTACACTATACCTGCATTATGTACACTATATACCTGCGCTATGTACACTGTATACCTGCACTTTGTACACTGTATACCTTCACTATGAACACTGTATACCTGCGCTATGTACACTGTATACCTGCACTTTGTACACTGTATACCTTCACTATGAACACTGTATACCTGTACTATGTACTCTGTATACCTGCACTATGTACACTGTATACCTGCACTATGTACACTGTATACCTGCGCTATGTACACTGTATACCTGCACTATGTACACTATATACCTGCACTATGTACACTGTATACCTGCGCAATGTTCACTGTATACCTGCACTATGTACACTGTATACCTGCACTATGTACACTATATACCTGCACTATGTACACTGTATACCTGCGCTATGTTCACTGTATACCTGCACTATGTACACTGTATACCTGCGCTATGTACACTGTATACTTGCGCTATGGACACTGAATACCTGCACTATGTACACTGTATACCTGCGCTATGTTCACTGTATACCTGCACTATGTACACTGTATACCTGCGTATACGCTATACCTGCACTATGTACACTGTATGCACTATGTATACCTGCACTATGTACACTGTATACACTATGTACACTGTATACCTGCGCTATGGACACTGTATACCTGCACTACACTGTATACCCGCACTATACACTGTATACCTGCACTATGTACACTGTATACCTGCGCTATGTACACTGTATACACTGCTGCACTATGTACACTGTATACCTGCACTATGTACACTGTATACCTGCGCTATGCACTATACACTGTATACCTGCACTATGTACACTGTATACCTGCGCTATGTACACTGTATACTATGAACACTGTATACCTGCACTATGTACACTGTATACCTGCACTATGTACACTGTATACCTGCACTATGTACACTGTATACCTGCTCTATGTACACTGTTGTATACCTGCATTATGGACACTATGCCTGCACTATGTACACTGTATACTTGCACTATGTACGCTGTATACCTGCACTATGTACACTGTATACCTGCGCTATGTACTCCGTATACCTGCACTATTTACACTGCACTATGTACACTGTATACCTTCACTCTGTACACTGTATACCTGCACTATGTACACTGTATACCTGCACTTTGTTCACTGTTTGTATACCTGCACTATGTACACTGTATACCTTCACTATGTACACTGTATACCTTCACTATGTACTCTGTATACCTGTGCTATGTAAACTGTATACCTGTAATATGTACGCTGTATACCTGCACTATGTACACTGTATTCCTGTACTATGTACACTGTATACCTGTACTATGTATACTGTATGCCTGCACTATGTACACTGTTTGTATACCTGTACTATGTACAGTACATTGTTTGTATACCTGCACTATGTACACTACATTGGTTGTATATCTGCACTATGTACAGTGCATTGTTTGTATACCTGCACTATGTACAGTACATTGTTTGTATACCTGCACTGTTTACAGTACATTGTTTGTATACCTGCACTATGTACAGTACATTGTTTGTATACCTGCACTCTTTACAGTACATTGTTTGTATACCTGCACTATGTACACTACATTGGTTGTATTCCTGCACTATGTACAGTGCATTGTTTGTATACCTGTACTATGTACAGTACATTGTTTGTATACTTGCACTTTGTACAGTACATTGTTTGTATACTTGCACTTTGTACAGTACATTGTTTGTATACTTGCACTATGTACAGTACATTGTTTGTATACCTGCACTATGTACAGTACATTGTTTGTATACCTGCACTATGTACTATCGTGTACAAAAGTTCGCTCCCTGTAGTGAAACTGAGACACGGGAATGAGTCTCCGAACTGACTTACCCTGATTGTTATCTGGTGTGGGTGTGCTGTGCGGGTCGATACTGCTTCAGTTTGGGAAGGAGCGAACTTTTGTCCACGATATTACTTCAAATACATTGTTTGTATACCTGTACTATGTACGGTCACAATTCAAAATTTCGACACCCCCCTGGCTGGGTGTTCGCCGAGGCCAGGGTTGAGGTAAGGCTGGGTGATCGGACGCAGACTAGTTCAGCAATGTGGTAACGAGGCACTACGATGGTGAGGTTCACATTCCACCACCACAACACTCCGAGACTCACAGCACACGAGCATGGAAGGAAATTTTTACGAATTTTGACATAACATGCATCTGCATAACAAAATTTCATTCATAACATTGTTGGCACACATAACAATAGCAAGTTAGGAGTGAGGCATGAGAAACTTGGGCTGTTCTCGACCCAGTTATGAAATATGAATATTGATAAACATCACGTGCTGATGGACTCAAAGTATCCTGTTGGAAATTCACTCCAAGTTACCAAACACCATGATTAGGACGTCATAGATATTTATCATTCAGGTGAAAAAAAAAAAATCATATGCGTAACTAGTTGTAATGTTGGTGTCCTCTGTGCCGTAACTCTCATAATCCGAGACATTATGAAGTGAAATTTAAAAACTAAAAGCAGCAGTAGACAGGAAACAAGGCAAGTGACCAAGAAGTAGTCACTAATGATGGCACACTGCCAGGCATCTACGCTGAGGGTCGAGGTCTTCGGCAAAATCGCTGCTCTGGACCAGACAAAAATTTTTTGGGTGATACAATGATTAATGTGAATTGCAACATTCCAAGCCCAAATACTCCAATGTAGTTAATGATACACCATTAAATATTGTAGACATGACTATATGAATTCCTCGTATGTGTGAAACCATAATGTTTCCAGGGTTATGGTAATATCTATACATGTATAGGCCTCACCTTGTCGACTGACCGCTCACTCCCTCTTGACGAAATTCGTCCGCCGGCCACCCTTTATACATGCTGCCCTGATGATTCATGTGTGATACGAGGACTCGCATCTAGTGGTTCCAAGTCAGTGTTTTGGGACCGGGCAAAGTTTTTCATGCTCCAATCTTAACATGTTATTGTTATGTGTGACAACAATGTTATGAATGCATTTGTTATGCAAGTTCATGTCATGTCAAAGATGGTAATAAGTTCCTTCCTGTGCTCGTGTGATATGAGTCTCGGAGTGTTGTGGTGGTGGAATGTGAACCTCACCATCGTAGTGCCTCGTTACCACATTGCTGAACTAGTCTGCGTCCGATCACCCAGCCTTACCTCAACCCTGGCCTCGGCGAACACCCAGCCAGGAACGGGTGTCGAAACTTTGGATTGTGACCGTACATTGTTTGATTACTTGAACTGCCTCTGCACATTGTTTTTATTCCTGCACTGTCTTTGTACTTTATTTATATACTACACTATCTTGGTACATTACTTGTTTACCTAAACTGCCATTGTGCATTGTTTGTATACCTTTAGTGTATGTACACTCGCTACAAAACGTATCTGCATAGTTCTTGCTAGACAATATGACAAAACAGTCGAAGGATTTTGACAATCCGAACGAGACAACAGTAGTCGCAGTGTTCATTTTGTAGATAGTTTAATTTGCGAGTGTATATTGTAGACTTGCAATGTCTATGAACATGATGAATCAATGTAAACTTGTCCGACGAACTTACTGAATAATTATCTTTCTATTTCTATCTATCCCGACAACGCTTGAATCTACCACAGTTTTATGGACTTTTCTTAGTCGCCTAACGCTCACATACCTCGTCCACCACCCAGGTTCAAGCCACCCGACGCCTGCTACATAGAACTCATAAGGTTCCGCGTGAGACCACCGAAGAACCGAGAGTTGCCCTTGCAAGTGAAGACTAAGGTCACCATTCAAGGACGCCGGGTAGACATCTTCTGCGAGATCCTCGTCCCGGGCTTCTCCGGCAGGAAGCTTGGACAGGTTGGTCATTATACCAAGAGTTCTCGTTCTTTCTTCTTGGGAGACTACGGCACAAAATTATTCATGATAGCGTAAACGTTTCATAGCCGTAGTCTCCTAAGGTAAAGAACATTGACGTGTCATAGTAGTGGCTGCCATCTGAGATGTAGCCACTCAGAGAGTTCTATCTCTCATATTTTTAATTGTTGGTGGACTAGTGTGATTACAAACCTTGTTACACGCTTAAAGGCTTAAAGATCTTAGTCGTTAAAGCACAGTAATAATATAACGTCCCGATGTCTTGGTCATATCATGACTTTGTTAAAGGTGTCAGCGATAGCTCTTACACAATGATTAAAATTAGAACAAAAGAGTGCAAAATTATTTTTATATGTGAATTTATTAAAACCATTGTTTATATATTATAATCACTTTCAAACTTTTCATGAAAATAAATAAAATAATTACTTGTAGATCTTCAATGTGAAACTGAGCAACATAGTAAATGAGAATACCAACATAGAGATTTAACATTTACTGTACATACTGTATCTGGAAGTTTACAGTAATGTTGCTTATATTTCCTGACAAGCTTGAGGTAATTATTACTGGCATGTTACAGGTTCCTTGTGAGGACGTAGTGGTGAGGTTCCCTCTTCCCGAATGCTGGATTTACCTGTTCCGGGTCGAGAAGCACTTCAGATATGGCTCTGTCAAATCTGCACACAGGAGGTAAAACATAGCACTTTACCACATGATGTAGGAGGTCACACACACACACACACACTACTATTACTACTACTACTACTACTACTACTACTACTTACTTACTACTTTTCTGTCGCTCGGAATCGAGTATGACGATCATCCAACTATGATACAATGATATGAGTTATTTGGGATATCACCTAGGTTGGTGAGTTCTGAGGTGACTAAAGAGGCCGACACGGGACCGGCAGGGTCGTTCAAGATGTTGCACATGTAGGGGGCTACATCTAGTGCGGGAGGGGCGGGGCGGGGCGGGGCATAATTAATATTATTATTATTGTTTTATTATATTTTCGCCCCCCGGGCCTTGATGTGGGTCATTAAAAATGACCCGTGCCCGGGTGGGCTAATGCCCTTGAAGAAAGAAAGTCTGGCTAACTCGAAAGTATTGACTCCTTCTCGAGTGGTGCTCTGCCAAGCGTTACGGTGTGGAGTAATTGTCTCCCAGGTGAGATGGTCGATTTGGCACTTTTTCAGGTTTCGCTTAAGACTATCCGTATACCTTTTCAGTTTCCCGACAGCGTTACGTTTACTATTCTTTAGGTGACTGTAAAGTAGCTGCTTTGGCAGTCTACTGTCGCCCATGCTGGTAACATAGCCAGTCCAGCGTAGTTGTTCATGGATAATGGTAGCCTCAATGCTCCTACAGTTGATGTCAGCGAGAATACTGGGATTTCTTCTCTTTTCTTCCCAGCGAACTCGGAGGATGGAACGTAGACTACGTTGGTGAAAGTTTTCAAGTGCCTTGAGGTGCTTCCTATATGTGACCCATGTCTCGCTGCCATATAGTAGGGTGGGGAGGCCCACTGATCAATATACGTGCAACTTTGTAGATAACTTCAGCTCCCGACAGCTGAAGACACGGGTACGGAGTCTGCCAAAGGCTTGAGATGCACAACTGATCTAATGTTGAATCTCTTCATCGATGTCTGTAGTGGTGGACAGGTGGGAGCCGAGATACCGAAAGTGGGTAACATTAGAAAGGGCAGTAACGTTAAGCTGGATGGATGGTGGAGGTGTGGCTGAACCACGGGCAGGCTGAAAGAGAATCTGAGTCTTACGTACATTCACCTCTAGGCCGATGTGTGCATACGCATCTGTGTTGGTGTTCAGGATCTCCTGTAGGTCGTGTTCAGTGTGAGTGACAAGGGTGAAGTCGTTTGAATACTGAAGTTAAATAATGGAAGCTGCTGACACCTTTGTTCCTGCCTGGAGTCGTCTTATGTTGAAAACACCCCCCTTCACCCGGTATTTGATGTCCACCCCGCCGGCTAAATTGGCACTGGCACGAGTAAGGAAGGCAGCCAAGAAAATGGAAAAGAGAGTTAGTGCCAGTATACATCCTTGTTTTACCCCTGTTTGGACGGGGAATAACTCAGACTGGGTGCCATTGTACAGGACACAACTGTTCAATACCATCGAGGAGTTGCCTCACAATGGCGATGAATTTTGGTGGGCAGCCAAAACGGCTGTGGTTCCGCCAGAGGGCTTCCCTGTTGACTGAGTCGAAGGTCTTGTTTAGGTCGATGAAGGCCATGTACAGGTCACGACGCTGTTCTCTGCACTTTTCCTGTATCTGACGGACAGCAAAGATCATGTCAGTGGTGCCACGTGATGGTCTAAAGCCACATTGAGATTCTGGGAGGAAGTTTTCCTCCTCGGGAAGAAGTCTGTTTAGGAGGATTCTGGCGATAATCTTGCCAGCTACGGACAGCAGCGAGATCCCGCGGTAGTTGAAACAGTTTGACCGGTCTCCCTTGTTCTTATAAATATTGACGATGGTGGCATCTTTAAGAGCTAGGGGGATTTCATCCTTTTCCCATATATTCTTCAGGTGAGATTGTAGACGGCTGGTAAGCAGAGGTCCTCCTGCTTTATACACCTCGGCTGGGATTTCATCAGGCCTTGAGACTTTGTTATTTTTCATGTGTTTGGGTCAGCTCTGGATGCTGATGGACCTGCTGGGTAGTGAGGACATCCATATCGGTGTTTTGGTTGAGCATTAAATTGTAGTGCTCTTTTCAGCGTTGAAGGAGGCCTTCATCGTCTTTAATTAGGGAGTTACCATCGGATGAGCAGAGGGATAGCTGCACTATGGGTGATTGGTCCATAAAATGTTTTAGTGGAATTGAAAAAATAGCGTATCTTGTTGTGATCTGCAAGTTTTTTGCGTTTCACATGCTTTATTTTTAAATCAGTCGTTCTTTAGATTGCGAAGTTTGCGCTGGGCCACAGCTTTCTTCTTGCAGAAGGTATCAGCTTTGGTCCGAGACTGAGGGTTGATCTGCAAGTCAATTAAAGCAGCACGTGTATCATCGACGAGTACATTGATTTCCGGGTCATTTTAATCAAACCAGTCCTGATGTATTCTTTCGTTCTGGCCGAGGGTCTCTCTGCAGGTTTTTCTCATGACAGTGTCATGAATACTCCATTCCACACTGGGATTTGGGTTGTTTGTTGTCGGGTTGTTTATCAGCCCATGTTTGAGTTGCTCTATGAACGCATGTGCTACCGCTGGATCCTCCAAACGCTTAGTGTACTGTTAGTACCTCTTCTGGAGGCTTGCTGCATTTGCCGTTTTGGGGCGACATGAAGGGAGAGATTGACTCTGACGAGCCGATGATCAGTGTCGCAGTGGTCTGAGCCACACACACACACACACACAGTGGTCTGAGACACACACACACACACACACACACACACACACACACACACTATTACCTTCTGTATATTCTAATTACTGGCCTTCACCTATCGTATGGGCTATTGGTTTGTCATTTTACTGTACAGATCCTCTTTACGTATTGTTTTTATCATCTGTACCTCACCCCACAACATTCACTCACTCTACTGTATCTCCACTTGTATCTCACCCTAACTCGTGTTTAAGAAGTTCATTTCACTACCTTGCACTCCTCAAGGCCGCCTTCCTTCTGTACGCCTGTCACTCTTGCATTACTGAAGTGTAGGCTATACCTTACTCTCCGGGACTACTCTCTGTTTGTATCAAAGGTGTGAGGGTTTTCTTCTCAAAAAGTATTGATTCTTATTTAATATATACCGAAATTTTACAAATTCCAAACCCTTAGCAATTATTTGCTGTTCGATTCTTCCTGATATCAGTGCCTAGATTTCTTTCCAGCTGAGGCGGTTTTCACTCTTGTTTACAGTTTATCCACTGTTTACAACTCTTGTTATATCTAGCAATATATTCAATTTAATTTATATATAACTTGTTAACTGAAAAGCTACACTATTTATTCCCTTCTATGATAACACTTGTTCCTATTGATATCAGTTTCATTTAACTTCCTCAGGTCCCTTCGTGTTTGTATCATGTCAAACTTTCATGTAACTGTTAGTGTATCGACATAAATAGTGTCCATACTAATACACAATTCTTCGTTTATTTTATGATCTTAACTTATTCCTGACCTTCCTTGAGGTTTACCTGTTATACTGTCAACTTTATTATCTTGTAAACTCATAAAAATTCAATGGCCAGTATGCCCAAATTTTTAACATACTTTTACTTTACCTAATTGAATAATTATCTCAACAGAACGGGTAAAGTAAAAGGAATTGAACGGCTGATGGGTACTGTAGAAACCGCGGACTCAGCGCTGATGGAGGTCACTTCAGGTCAAGCCAAGTATGAGCACCAGCATCGAGCCATCGTGTGGAGGATGTCTCGTCTACCCAAGGAGGGTCAGGGGGCATACACCATGCACAACTTCTCCTGTCACATGAATCTCACCGCCTATGACCAGATGCCAGAGTCCCTGGACAAATACTGCTACGTGGAGTTTACAATGCCGGCCACTACTGTTAGCCATTGTGTGATGCGCTCAGTCTCCGTCACCAGTGAAGACCCCCCAGAGAAGTACGTAAGGTACCTGGCTCGCCACGAGTACCGCATCGAAATGGAGTTCTCCTCGGGGTCTGGTCCAGCTGACTATGTCGCCGCCACTATGAAAGACCCGGAGATACAGCAGAAAGAAGAAGCTGCGCGCAAACAACAAGAGCAACAACAACAACAACAAAAACCACAAAACCATGAGTCCAGTAGTGAAGACTCCTCCTAACCTCTGCCTTATACAGGCCAATCTCAAGGCTGACTCCGCCTCCTAGGCCGGAGCTGCTCTAACATAACAGGGTTTTACATGAAGGCTTCAAGACATGCTTGTGTGGCTACTGATGACTGCTGCGCTGACCAAGACATTGTACACGTTCTTGGAAAGCAGAATTCATATTAATATTGTATGGTGCTCGTATTAAACACGTGTTTGTAATTGAGCATCAGGGTCAACTATAAAAAAAAACTTTCTGAGAAATTGCCGAATCTGACATAATTGCACATGCATACGAAATTTTTTTTGCAGAAAAAATGTCTTGTAGTGCCTAACTTCGTATTATTATTTTGTGCCAAAGGCTAATGAAGACTCGACAAACTAAGCCGAAGTATTGCTCGGCACTTGTAATGATGACTTAAGGTGCAGTAATTAATTCCATGTCGTGTGTTGTATTGTGAACGAGAACATCGATATCATTGTGTCGGAGGGCGTGACCCTTCGCCTCATACCACAGTGGGACAGTTCCTCGTAGTTGTTGTCTATATGAAAATTATATACAAAAAACCGCAACTTCAGAAAGAGTACTCAACGAGATGAAAAGGAACTCCATGTTTCGTCTCTTTTATCTTATCTGCCTGTCTACATAATACTGGCCAGGACTGTGATAGGTTATTTGTGGGAGCTTCCTTGAGAGCTTTTTCCGAATGTGGTTCACTACTCATCGTCTGTGTCATAAGGTGAGTGGTCTAGTTATCTTAACTATACTATTGTTTGAAGTAGGTTGAAACGCGTGCAGAACACATATCTTATTTCATGAGTTACCCTGTTATCGACGGTCGCTTCTCTGCTATGTAAGTCATTGATAGGCGAGACTATAAAAAAAAACTCAAATCTAGTTGTTACATTAAACAAATTTTAATATATATCGCATGCAGTAAATTTCATGTTAAGTATTTGGAATTTTTTGGATTTGTGATCTGAAGAAAAACCTAAGAAATGTAAGCAGTGAGAGAAGTGGTTACCGCGCTGTGAGACCCATTTTAGTCTTTCTCAAGCAGGCCATTGTGTCGTGCTAGGCTACACTCCTTCTCTTCACTCACTCTTATCATTGTAAACCTTGTTGTATAAGCTAATCTGGGCCTTTTATGTCGTGTTTTCTTCCATATTCTATAAGTCTTTCTTGACATTATTGCAATGAAACATGCGCATAATATTTTCCAAACTCGTTTTCCTTGTCACAAATTCTGTTTATAAACTCTTCTGTGTACCGTTTTACTTAGTTCAATGTTTTGGAGATTAAGGCTTGTATGGTCTTTGTTTTATAGTATTTTCATTGCATACTGTACCAGGACATTAGCATTTGTCTTCTTATTCAGGGAACTGAATTTTTTAAGCTTCTCCCACTTGTACGACCTATCCACCTCTACTTAATGATTTACCCTACATCACTCTACCTCTCTCTTGTCACTTCCCCAATGTTCTAAGGCCCTTTCTTTACTCTACCTACTCTAAGCTCTCGTGTATCGAGGATCCTTATAATCCACTTATTCTGCATTACTGCATTTCTCTTATACACCACATATCTTAATCTCTCTTAGTAATTTTTAAAGATAACTGTATCCCACAAAGGACTCTTTTCTGTCTCACGCTTCATCACTAGCCTACACAAGAACACCTCATGGTAGCGTCGAGCACAACATGGGTTTAGGGGCCAACTTAGGGGCCGCTATTATATGAGAGTATAAACCTCCTCTTTCACACTAATTTATTAAATCAATATATTGTAAAAGTGTTAAAGTAGTAAAACATTATGAGCACAGTGCGTTGTATACTCTCATAAGGTAGGAGCCGACCTGTCCTGTAAGTGATGTTGTCTCGGGCTGTCTCTTTGTAAACAGGGATTACAAAGTCAGTTTTGTATCGACGGTGCACGTGCTCACATACTTTGCTGCTGTTGGTGTAAATACTAAGAGAATTTCTAGTGTTAGATTACTTGTGTTTTGTTGATTTGTTTGACGTTAAAACTTCTGGTGATCTCAGAGTGCCAGAACGACGTATTGCAGCAACATACCAAAGAAGTAGGAGATACTTATTATCAGTTGTCACAATTCACTTGGGTGCCACCTTATATCTTACTATAGGGAGGATGGGTCTACCAATGCTAAACCGCTACTACTGACACCATGTTTAAGATGTCACCCCAGTGAGTGCAGGCACCTGATATCTTCGTGGGAGACCATGATATTGTTAGTTTCTGTAAGTAGGTAAAGCGACCTTCTCGATGTAAACTGAATTCCATTTCTTTACAAAGAGTGTGTTTATACTTGCCTGAGGTGTCGCCGTGGTGGGTGGTCCATGCAGCATATCACGGAACTTAGTAAAGAATGAGAGTGATGTGCGCCCTGAGAACGAAGCTTAATGTATGATATTGTAATAAAGTCTTTGGTCAGTTACTTCGTGAACAGGGAAGAATTTCGGAGCACCATGCACACAGCGAACGAAGTCCTTACTAGTGATAATCTGAAGAAACAGACCAAACGTACTAACGTGTTATTGTGTACATAAAGTGTTGTGGTCCACGGGGTCGCTCGCCCCTGTGTGCCTGTGGTGACCACTACCGTGTCAACAAGTGACTCACCTCTTGTGTGTAATAAGTCAAACATTCTGATTCTCGTAATGAGGTATTATTTTTAATTTGCTCTCAGGCGTTATTTTTTACGTTATCTGGGAGGTAACACCATGTCCGTCTGTTGTGAGTACTCTCGGCTTTAACACTTGCTGACGGAGGATAATAAACTAGTCTCTCATAAGTTGTAAGTAATACTCACACCAGCAGTAAGTGAGGCGAGGAGCACTCACAACACGACGGCAGGGACTCTCCAGGTGGCTGGGTCGGATGAGTGCAATGTCTAGTCAATAGGGTTAAGGATAGTCTAGAGTATGAAGATGTATATAGTTCAAAGTGTCTTCTTCACAACAGAATGTATCGTGACTATCAATGGATGTTACCACATTATTCTCCCGTGTTCAGCGTTTGCAGATTGTTGTAGTGTTGAAATTATTTATTTTCTTCGACAGATATTGTCTTCATAATGGAGGAGATTTTGTAACACCAAGTGTACAGTGTCTGGAACGACAAAACGTGAATGTGGAAACCTTTTGACATTTTCCTTTCCGTGTAAATGAGATTTCACACATTCTCATGACATACACATTGTAAAGAGGTATACAGCACATTCAAATAAATGCATTCAGATTGCATATAACTACTATATGAATTTATGTATAAAAAGAAATCTTCCATTGTTCATTGTATCTATGGCAACATAGGCATTCATTACCAGAAGTTAAAAAAATACATAGTTTACCCTAAAACAGGCTGTTGCCGGACCACGTTCTCTGTATTAACTTCCATTCCCCCTTACTGCAGACATCCCTTATCACATTCGGGAAATAAACGACCTCGTTGGAATTTTAACGTTGACAGGAGTTGAGGTGATGTGATGTAGGGTGTCTCCCTATCTATGTTGTAGTTTCGTCCCGAGCGTGTGTGTACTGTATGTAGCCAATAACAAGGGCAAAATAAAAGTGAAATGTTGGACCGAATTTGTGTATAATTATCCTTTCGTTTCTAGCACACGTTATTACACTTCATTTGTTTTATACTTATTGTGACAAAATTGTAAGGAAATGATATTAAACTTGTGGTAGTAGGTAGCAGGCAGCTATCAAACAGGGAGGTACTACCGCCTGGGATGATATTGGAAGCATAATGTGTTGTCTAATGGTAGACCCTGCTGCCATATGGCATCACGAAAATTGTGACCAAGTCCTAGGTTGCTGATCTGACTTTCTGCCTCATTTACACACAATTGCAGGGTCTCAATTGTTTCTCTTACTTTGACACACAACATATATAACTTTTTTCACTCTTAATCTGTTTTATTATTTCTATTCTTTTATTCTCCTTTGATATCAGTTGGCAATAATATTAAAGCGGGCCTTTTCGGATGGGTTCCACCGGACGGGAAGGTTTTGGACCCCAGGGCCTACCTGATCATCATCAAACTACTGGGGCCTCAAGTGACGTCACAGCGGTTGCAGGAGGATCGGCTTTTTTCACACTTCACTTTTCCAACATTCGCGGCCTGAGATCCAATTTTTCTTCTGTGGAGCACCATCTATTAACCTCTTCCCCGATCTCTTACTACTATCTGAACTTCAACTGACCAAAGCAGCTTCACCCAAACCTTTTCAAGTCTCTAACTACAACCTTTATACCTACTTCCGTTCTAAGGGAGGTGTATACGCCTACTGCAACACACGTACACCTATAGCTCGACCCAAGGATCTTGAAGCTTCTCTTTATGATGTCATCTGGTTCAAAATATCACTACCAACTATGACTGTTTTTCTTTGTTTCCTATACTGCTCTCCCAACTCTACCAACTACTGTACATGAAACTCTTTGACTGTCGCACTTCTTGCCATGAGTCGTTGCTATCCACACACCCCAACACCGAGAGAGTGGCTTGGCTCTGCAAGGGATGACCCAGGTAGAGCTGAGGCACTCTTTTTTTTTTTTACTTAATGATCTGGAACAAATAATTAAACACGCATTCCAGATCGACACGATCAACTTACTAACAGTCCTGATCTCTGTTCTACCTCTAACTCCTCACACTATTCATACTCAATTTTTGCCCCCTTAGGGTCTTCTGATCACAATCTTATTTCTATTAAATCAAACTGGGCACGACCACCTCCCCACCCCCCTCTAAACACCAACTATGGCACTATCGAATACTTCATGACTCAACCAGGGCATGTGGTCATCATTCATGTCTCTTGATCCCACAACTTTGACAGCAGAAGTCATATATAGTTATATTTTAAGCAGCAGAAACGACAGAATAACAAACCTAATGAAAACGTAATTATCCCGTGAGTCCGTGGTTGTCGGGTTCCCTTGTCTCGGGTTTCGTTGGCGGTAGAATTCCGCCAGGAGATTACTGACGCGCTACCACCAAAATTATTTATACTCCTCGAGCTATAGGTTAGATTGGTCATGGTTAGACTATGTTTATAAACTTAGTTTGGTCAGGCTAAGTTTAGTTTTAATTTGGTTTAGTTTATTAGGCTAAGCTTAGTTTAAGTTGGTTTCATTAAAAGCGGTTTCCATCGACATGAGTGTTCATACACCACACTGTATACTAAGCCTTCGGTACACAAGGAGGCAGCATGGCCGGTACTGCACTCGACCACATCCACTTCCCCATGTTGTAAACTTAGGTGTCCATTTACAGGTGGGTGAACATGAGCACCCGGGGATGGAACCACCGATCCCTGGAACAGGAGGCGAGCGCTGTATCCACTCAACAGCTGCACTCCTGGATTAGTTAAGTTATATTTAATTTAAGTCTGATTTGATTAAGTTAGGTTTAGTTTAAGTTATGTTTCATTAAGTTAGGTTTAGTTTAAGTTATGTTTCATTAAGTTAGGTTTAGTTTAAGTTATGTTTCATTAAGTTAGGTTTAGTTTAAGTTATGTTTCATTGAGTTAGGTTTAGTTTAAGTTTGGTTTGGTTAGAATTGGTAAAGTTAAGTGTTGATTAATATGGTTTGGGTACCTCGAGGTTGGTTTAGTTTAGTTACAATTTGTTCATAAATTTGGCTAAATTGGGTTTGATTAGGTTGGATGTGATTAAATTAGGTTAGATTTAGCTCGGGTACTTAAGGTTTAGTTATATGTGGCTAGGTTACGTCAGATTAATTTTATTAGCCTAGTAAAATTAATTCTAGGGCGTTATGTTCGTGTTATTTCATCAATTATAAATAAATTAGGTTACACTACGATGATTTACCCCTTTGGGGACGAAAGGGGTTAAAACATCGTCCTCATAGGGTTGATAAAGCATCCTTCTTAAAAGAAAACGTAGTCCTTAAGGGCATATCAGGGATTCAAAATTGGCGCGATGTTTTTGAAGTATATGAGTGTGAAAAAAAAATTACTGCATATATATAAACAAAAACCAGTCACCTAAACTGACCCTTTAATCCCTTGGGGCTTAGCCAAGTAAAATGCTGAAAGTGGTGACTCGTAGTGAAGGGTTAAAGAATTTTTTCACGTCTAGACTAGCCTAGACTCCTCTAGCTCGTCTTATGAATAGTGTCCGGCAGAGATGTCTAGGAACGCAGAGGTAGATCAGGGTACTGGTAGGTGGGTCATAATACTGATAGGTGGGATGGGATACTAACAGACAGATGAAGATGGGAAGGAGGGGCACTAGCTGACAGAAGAGGGAGGGAGAGAGGGACGGTGAGGTGGTTGAGGTGAGTTGTGAGTGACGGGTCGTGTGGTGAAGCATAGTGAACAGCTTTCCCGCGTCACGAGGCGAGGCGTGTGTGTGGCTGGGTGTGAGACATTGTTGCAAACCCTAATGGATTAAAGTTACGTGAATGAGGGAGGAATGGATCGTAAAATGCATAAAAACAAATGTTTATATGCATTTTTTCTCACAACTTTATCATATTGATTGGTAGACCCTGCTGCCATATGGCGTCACAAAAATTTTGACCAAGTCCTAGGTTGCTCATCTGACTTTCTGCCTCATTTACACACAATTGCAGGGTCTCAATTGTTTCACGTACTATTGACAACACAACATATATATATATATATATATATATATATATATATATATATATATATATATATATATATATATATATATATATATATATATTATTTTTCTCACTTACTATTATTATTATTATTGTTATTATTATTACAGTGTTACTATTATTATTGTTATCATTATTATTTTGTTATGTTATTTTTGATTGTGTATTTTTTATTAAAAATTGTATTTAATATGAATCATTATTATTATTATTATTATTATTATTATTACATTTTCGCCCCCAGGCCCTGATGTGGGTCAGTGACCTGTGCCCGGGTGGGTTAATCCCAAAGATATATATATATATATATATATATATATATATATATATATATATATATATATATATATATATATATATATATATATATATATATATATATATATATATATATATACATATATATATATATAATAATAATAATAAAATAAAATATGTCAGACTCGGCTCCACAGCTGCGTGGTATGATGGGCAACCCACTACCAGATGTATAGGTCATTGTATACTTCACTCAGCGGCACCCACTACAAACACGAACTACTGTAGATGTCGAAAATGTGCGTTCACCCACGAAGAGCACGCGATAATCCAGCGAGCGCCATCAATCTTTATATTCAATATTATGGAACCTTGCATCACTCCACACGGCTTGGTGTTCAATTCCCACAGCCCTACTCCAGATGTTGATCCTCTAAATGAAATTCCCTGGCATATGAAAGTTTGCCGAATTGCCAATCTCTGCGTAGATTAGAGTTGAGCGACGGAGCCAACGGTACGAGATTTCATAATAATCCTTAACGTTCAGGGATTTAGTTAACCAGACAAAAGCCGCTTCTTAATACACATCTAGTAACAGGAACTTTATATCCCTCGATATACATGATATTGTTTACTGTAAATTTTGTTTAATTCTTATCATAAATACTTTACTTACGTTCATAAGATATATTCTATAGCAGTGGTGTTGAGGTGACCAGTGCCCTCTACTCCCCCCACTCTGGAGAGGTGGAGGGGTAGGATGTCGGTTACGTCTGCGGGTAGTGTTTCACTCTGGTCACATGACAGCTGAGCGCTACCTTCTTTCCTTCCACTACCTGAACCCCTCCCCTCCCTCCCGGACTTTCGGGAGTGACTGTGGTGAAGAAGGTGGCGGTACGTGAAGGATGTTGATCAGACACCCATGCATGCACCGACCCGCACACACTACACGTTGTTTACTATCCCAACGAAAGTATGGATAAATGAGGGTAGGTGATGTAGACCGAAAGGCAAATGACCAGCAAATCCCAAACCATGAACAAGGTGAAGTTAAGTTAGCATGAGTTAGATAAGCTAGTAGTGATGATATGTATTCACCATGTGTATTACGATTATATACACAGACCAGTTTGAATTTTCGAAAGCAAAGGAAATTATATAAATTATTGTTATTCCGCAATTATTCCTATTTGGTTTAATGTATATTAGGCTTATTAATTTTAATAATACTTCTACGCTCGTGTGTTCGTCTGTGTGTATGTTTAAGTGTTTGTGTGTGTGTGTGTGTGTGTGTGTGGAGCAGCCAGCCAGCTGTCAGCTGAGCCAGACTTACTGAGCCAGTCACCTTCTGGCTGGGTACTAAGATACACCTCAGTGTGTGTGTGGCGGGGACCTTACTTAACCTGCCATATACAATACGTCTTTAGCCTGAAGCATATATATCAGTTAGTGTGGTCGTCCCCCTCACTGTTGTTATGATGGAACATATTAAGCAAGGAATAAGTTTCTTTAGAAGAGTGTCTTTCACGACTCTCTCCCACCAGGACCGACTCGACATACTCTTCGTAAGTAAAATATCCCCAACTTTACTCTTTGTCTTCTGCCGTCTAGGGAGGGAGTAGGAATGCATGTTTTCCGTCCGTGCATACTTCAACCGTCAACACCAAAGGTAAAACAAATATCAATGGATCATAAACAATCTTGCCATGTAAATGTACCACTACTGATCTCAAACGAGATTAATGATTCGAATTATGACCAGTTGGACTGTTGATGGCTGATTTTGTGTATTTATCTAATTTAATAACTGTGTTATATACATAAACACGTACTGTACCATTCGTCTGAATAGATATCGACCTGCTGACGGACTTCGTTTAGTGCAGTCATCCCTGTGTTGACCTCCATTGCCTTAACTGACTAATCATGTACTTTTGGAAACAACCACCAAACATTAACATCCTGAACATTTCAAGCTATAAAACCACCTTGACAATAACAAACAGGATAGAATTACTTACTGTAACAGAGTTTATTTCGATACAGGAGCTCCGACGGTCCTGTAAGTTATGGCCTCCAGATACAATATTTAAAGTCACAACATGACATATTTTGTTTTGGCTATCACTAAAGATAGGACTGACAACCTCTGAAAACATCTGGGAGATAAATTATTACGCCCGGATACTCAATAATAATAATAATAATAATAATAATAATAATAATAATAATAATAATAATAGTAATAATAATAATAATAGTAATAATAATAACATATTAATAATAAATTAAATAATTGGGCATTAAGAAGCGCTCCAGCACCTCGGGTAATATTCTTGAGGGTCACTACATAGCTGTTGTTGAAATTTCAAAGTTGTTCAGACGTCAGCGCCGAACCCAAATAGGGTTCACTGGGTTCGACCCATGCCCGGCTTGAGGGGACTTGGAGCCACACTGTTTGTGTGAGCAGGTTGTGTTTCAGGTGGGCTGTAGGTGTGGGTGAGTTGTGTGCGTAGGTGTGGGTGAGTTGTGTTTGTAGGTGTGGGTGAGTTGTGTTCGTGGGTGTGGGTGAGTTGTGTTTGTAGGTGTGGGTGAGTTGTGTTTTTAGGTGTGGGTGAGTTGTGTGCGTAGGTGTGGGTGAGTTGTGTTTGTAGGTGTGGGTGAGTTGTGTTCGTGGGTGTGGGTGAGTTGTGTTCGTGGGTGTGGGTAAGTTGTGTTTGTAGGTGTGGGTGAGTTGTGTTTGTAGGTGTGGGTGAGTTGTGTTCGTGGGTGTGGGTGAGTTGTGTTCGTGGGTGCGGGTAGGTTGTGTGTGTAGGTGTGGGTGTTCCTAAGGCGGGTAATGAAGATATAATAATTTTCCTTCTCTCCACAGGGGACGTTCTTCGTACATCTCATCCTCACAGTGTGGTAAGCGACACTCCCTCTTGGCTGTGCGGTGGTACAGTACCTCGGTCAAGCCACCACTCTTCCTTGTTGGTTAAGTTAGAAATAAGCATTGGAGAAGTTTATACCACAACTTTCCAATTTGGAGGAAAAATGCCTTTGGTTTTTATCATTTTTTCTTAAATTGAAATTTTGTTGAAATTCCACTGTAGGTACTTTGGGACTTGATGATTAAGGGTCTGGGGTAAAAGAAAACATTGAACTGAGTATGGTTATTAATGACCCTTGTAATTATTTCACTAATTATAGTTTCACTAATTATGAGGGTATTTTTTTATGTACTGGGTATTGGATATAAGGTGACACAGATATGAGTGGTACCATGTTGTGACAAAGGTAATAGTGAGGAGACTACTAGTGACAGCAGCAGGATTTTACTGTATGTTATGTTAGCTTATGTTCGAGTATTGGTGGTGCCTACAGAGTAGTGCTTTTGAAGAGTGGTTTGTTGTCACACCTTACAGTGGTAATGGAAACTGGAGAGAAGTAGCTTATCGCCATATCACAGCAGAGTATTGCTGTCAGCTAAAGAAGTGGCATGTTGTCATAGATAGATAGATAAATATATATTTTATTGACCACAAATTATGAATACAGAGTTCACACCGAAATTTTACATAAAATAGTCCAAATTCAAATGCATTAAAACACCAAATTGTGTGATGTTTATGTACAGTAATGCGAACGAGCCGAGCGAGTGAACCACTGTGTGGCGTGAATGATCGTGTGCACGAGTGCTGTGACTGTCCTCTAGTGGCGTGATTGACGTGTGCATGAATGCTGCCACCTAGCGGTGTGAATAAAGTTGGGTGTCCGAGTAGTTAGATGACATAGCACGAGGTTTCGTGATCATGTGAGACAGATTGTTTCCTGCTGCATCAGTATACAGACGTCTCCCAGTAAACTGCATCTGTGAAGACTGTTTCATGGAGCCGTCAGTAACCAAGTAGAACTTGAACACAAACATTAATAAAAGTTCACTGATTCAACCAAAAGTGGCACATTGCCATATATTAACAAGAGAGCATTTACAGCTAGTGACCTCACTGAGTGAGGACGTGTCCACTGGCGCTCCGCAGCAGCCAAGGTAATCACGTCGACCTGTAGCTAATTTAAGGCAGTTCAGTACTTTTACGGGAAGACAGTGCATACTTTTAAGGTGTCAGTGACTGTGAGTGCTAGACTTGTGAATATGTGCGTTCCAGTGAAGCGATATCGTCGCACCGACCTGTTCCGGCTGAAGTCTGGTGCTGGCTATCCTCCACCCCACACCATCACTCTACTAAAGGAGCTGAGAATCTTTCACAGCCGTGGCTGCAGACGGGGTCGCCGCATTCCCAGACGAATCCCTATCATCACTCCGAGCAAGCATAAGAAAGTCAAGACAGTGCCTGAAAGACAGTGTGCTCGCTATGAAGTGCCGCGACTATGGTACAGCCTACCATCCCTATTGCTGTCCAATGTCACATCTTTATGCAACAAGGTGGTGTAAGGTCAGTGTCACAGTGAAGTCAGTTGGTGCAGGTATTGTGGCGATTACCGAGGCGTGGCAAATTGTTCACACCTAGGTGTTAATGTACCTGAGGATGTAGAAGCTTTGTGGGTTCAGGTCACTCCCACCCCTGCCAGCTTGCCCCTCTCATTGTTTGTGTTTGTTATCACCCCCCCCGCGCACCAACCACCAATGTACTGAGGTGACTTTAATGAGTTAGACATCAGCAACATCACCCAACACCTCCACCTTGCACAAATATTTGACTTTCCTACACATGGGAATGCCACCCTGGACCTCATCATGACTGATCTCGGCAACCACTACCTTCCCTCTCAGCCGCTGCCTCCCATGGGGCGCAGCCCCCACCTGTCTGTACTGTGGTCACCTACACCTACCATCTCACGACCGCCAATTGTTACCAGGACTTACCAATGACTCTGCCATGCGGCGTTTCGGACAATGGGTGACCCGGTATCCCTGGACTGAAGTGATCACGGTAGACGATGTGCAGAACAAGTGGGACAATTACCTGGACACTATCACCAAAGCCTACCACCACTTCTTTCCAGCCAAGACACTGAGGATCCACCCCGATGATGTCCCGTGGATTACAACCCGTATCAAAAGACTTATTGAGCAGCGCAACAAGGCATACTACACCAACAACCGCCTGTACAAAAGTCTACGTAACCAGGTCATCAGGGAAATCAAGTCAGCCAAGAAGACTTATTATCCCAGGAAAGTGCACGGCCTCAAGGAGGTCGGCATCGGTCAGTGGTACTCTAAGGTAAAAGATCTCTGTGGTCTTAACAGTCAGTCTCCCACACTTCTTTTCATCTCATTTACCTAGTGAGGAGGCAGCTGAGATAATTAATAACCACTTTGCTACCATATGTCATACCTTACCCAGTCTTGACTTCACTCTCCTCCCGGCTTACTTACCTTCCCCCTCCCCCCTCCCAGTGTTCAACCATATGAAATCGCCAACAAACTCCTGAAATTTAAATCCAAACGCTCCACGACCCCAATTGACCAATCAAAATTTAAAAGGAGTTTGCAGTCGAACTTGCCACCCCCCTCTGTTCTATTATTAATGCATCTCTCAGACAAAGCAAATGCCCTAATGAATGGAAAACCGCATTTGTCACCCCTATCCCCAAGGTCCCCACCCCACAGTCCCCTAGCGACCTCAGGCCAGTTGCGATTACCCCCATACCCAGTCAACTCTGTGAAGACTGTTTTTGAGTGGGCATTTGCTAGTATTTATCAGTCAATTGATCCACAGCAATTTGGCAATATGAGGACCTCCTCTACATCACACTGCATAGTTAGTTTCCTGGATTTCCTGCACAAAAACCTGCAGAAACGTAAGACAACACTGGCCGTTGCCCTTGTTGACTTCAGGAAGGCTTTTGACCTTGTTGATCACTGCACTGATATAGATTTTAATGCACAATTTCTATACATTAACTTCATTGTACTAAATGATGAAGTAAACTAGTTACTTTATCTTTGATAGTACACTACAGGTATTAATTTTATTGTGATATTATTTCTATCGTTAATAGTATTACTATTACTACCTATTTGTATTATTGCTTTGTAATGTGCAATTGTACCGTTCTGCATTATTACTATTATGAATTTTATTATTTCCGCCATCAAAATTACACTAATATATATTTATCATTTTAATAATATTACTAATTACAATTATTTACTTTCTTATCCCTAGTGTTAACGGATCACTGCACAGTGTAATATTTTGTATTATAAATCTCATATTACTGCATTATGGTCACATCATTCTCATTGTGAAATTTATTCCTATTATATACTACATTTTGTGATAATTATATTCCAAATTAATTCCATGCTAGATATAATGTCTCTGAAATCATCAGTATAAGTACAGTCCTATTTTTATTGAGGTGTATTTATCATTATTATTATTTTCATAACATTGATATTATTAACATTATAATCCATTTGAAGTAGTAAACCAATGTATTAACCTGTTTATTGTTTACTGAATAAAGCTTTATTATTATTATTATTGTTATTATTGTTATTATTATTATTATTGTTATTATTGTTATTATTATTATTATTGTTATTATTGTTATTATTATTATTATTATTATTATTATTATGTTGGGTATTTGGTTTTAAAAACCAGTTTGGCAATTTTTGTGTAATGAAGTCATAATGTTTACATCTGACTTTATTTGACGTCTTTGCAATGCCCTAACACTTGGTTTGATGGGCAAAAGAAGTTCATCTGATGGCAATTTGGGGGTTTTATGGCAGCCTAGGACATTCGCCATTTCGGATCTGCCAATTTTCCTGCTTTCCCATTGGCCAATTATGAAGGACTTTTAGTATGGTGTTGCATACACCCAAACTAATATAAAATCACCATAAAATAATTTGTTGTAATTTCTTTTAGGTCAATTACATTCACTATAATGAGTCGTCTATATATACCTCGTGACTCATGGTGTGGTAGGGTTCAAGGATCCATCACCTGGCAGTTGTCGGTTTATAATTTCAACGTAATTTTATTATTATTTGCAGTTTACATCAATAACAAATTAATTTCAATGGCAGTCTTAACAGAACGTAAATCTTATTACACGTCTTCATAATTTAATACAGAAGACGTAGCAGAACGGTACCTAATATACTCACTGTTGTTGCCTGTTAGTTACAAGTGTTCCCAGTGTCGGTGTCACGAGACGATATTCTTGCTGGTAATACTTCTTCGTGAGGTTTGTGAGCGTGCATCAGGTTACACAACCTGTTTACAATTTAAAACCTGATACCAGCAATCGTATTAGGGGTCAGTAGTTTACCATTGTTTAGGTGTGTATGTTGACAATGAACTCAGTTCTCGGGCCATTGTGAGAAGGTGAATCAGCAACTAAATTATTAAGTCTTATTAAAAGGTCGTTCAGATATCGTAACTATCTCCAAGAGTGAGGTGCTTCCCCGTCTGGAGTACTGTCACCCCGTCAGCTACCCTGAGAGATTAGAGTGCCTGCAATTGCCTAGCTTATACTACAGCCGGGCAAGGGGGGGACCTAATTGAGGTATATAAACATCTCAAAGGGCACTACTCAGTCGAGTGTCCTTAGCTGGAGCTGGCGGACGATCGCCCCACAAGGAGTCACAGCTCAAGGTTGAAGAAGCCGCAAGTCCAGAAAACTGTGAGGAGTAACTTTTTTGGAATGAGAGTTATGAACTCTTGGAAAAATCTGCCAGAAAGTATTGTGACGGCACCGGGTGTGAGCTCTTTCAAGAACAGACTTGACCAACACTTGAGCAGGTTCAGATACATTCAGGAGCAGTACATGCCCAGTACTTGCCAACAGAGTGTAACAGAGACGTGACCGATCGCCCAAGCGGCTAACTAGCCGATTAGTGGGAAGAGGATAAAACTATATAGGTACATTTTTTGTATACCCTCACTGTCTAGGTACATTGTATACCATCACTGTCTAGGTACATTGTATACCCTCACTGTCTAGATACATTGATACCATCACGGTCTAGGTACATTTTATACCCTCACTGTCTAGGTACATTGATACACTCACTGTCTAGGTACATTGTATACCCTCACTGTCTAGGTACATTGATACCATCACTGTCTAGGTACATTTTATACCCTCACTGTCTAGGTACATTGATACACTCACTGTCTAGGTACATTGTATACCCTCACTGTCTAGGTACATTGTATACCCTAATTGTCTAGGTACAGCCTGTATACGCTCACTGTCTGGGTACAGTCTGTATCTCCTCACTGTCTAGGTACATTGTGTACCCTCACTGTCTAGATACATTGTATACCCTCACTGCCTAGGTACATTGTATACCCTCACTGTCTATATACATTGTATACACTCACTGTCTAGGTACATTGTATACCCTCACTGTCTAGGTACATTGTATACCCTCACTATCTAGGTACAGTCATCCACAAGAGTCCTGCCGCCTCTACTGGTGCTCCACGAGCCCCGAGATTCAGAAGTGGAGCAACCTGGTGAAGTTGAATTCGGAGTTGGAAGAACTGATATGGTTGTTGAGACATTGGGCCGTAGAAAGGTGGATGCCTTTTATGTACAAGAAACCAGGTGGAAAGGAGATGCATCAAGGTTATTATTTATAGCAATGACAACTTTTTTCTGGGTTCGTAGTGATTTTGGGTCAGCTGAAAAGTGGATAGAGAAAGTGCTAAATGTGAAAGGTGGAAATGCGGAAATTTTTGTTTTATATCAAATGGTAAGCAAGAATTTGGTAACGGTTGTATCTGAAATCGCCCCACAGATTGTGCTAAATGAGAATACTAATTGAGCATTGGTATTTTTTCAACTTCCTCCTTGGGGATAGTAGGTGAAGTGAAAAAAAAACCTTTTAAGCATTAAAAAATATCAGAAGAAAACATCCATAAATGCGGTCTGACCACGAGTAATTAGAACTCCAACCTTACTCATACTGTTAAATTAACACACACACACACACACACACATACAGTTATGGCCAAAACTATTCTCGACATTTTAAGTTATTTTATCATTTCTACCACTTAATAGCTTACTAGCAGGTCTGTTCTTTGCTAGTACCTTCATTGTCCAGTGTTAGTACAGGTGTAAACCGGAATCCCCGAAGAAAACCTGTGTGATATTTCGTAGGGTCAGACTGGAGAACACTTTCTCATATTCGGCCTGAATCGACTCTCAGATCAAAATTGAACCCGAACAACTAACATCTAATTTCGTGCCTATAAATTTAATTGGTTTCTAGTTGCTGAGCGCCACTTTTCAATATAAATTAAATCAGAGCAACAACACAAAAAGACAGAAATCCAATGCAAAAGAACTCCCGAGTAAATAAAACGTTTTAAAATCCCATTCACATTCCCTTTCTGTGTGTTGCAGGAGCAGCCCGTGTGGGTGTCTGCCCCAGAGCTTCATCGTCTACAACAGCTTCTTCCTCTTCACCATCATCTGGAGTCTACACCAGCGGGAGTCTGAGGAGGCTCCCTTCATGGTGAGTCTTAATATAGTGTGTTAGCTTAATCCTGATATTTATGGGGATAGTATTATTTATAGGTTATAACTGTGTAATGGTCAGCATACTCGCCTCGCAAGCGAGCGCGCTCTGGTTCGATCCCAGAGCAGGGTGAAACTATGGGCAAGTTTCTTTACGTCATTTGCCTTTTGTCTACCCAGCAGTTAATGATTTACGGATCTTGTTCCGGGGTAATGGTTGGCCAGTGCAGTGGGCGAGTTCTCCCATTGTAAGGGCCGAAACGATCTTCGTGCTCGTTACCGCTGCTAACTCTCTCGTTTGCTGGTGCGGACGACACTTGGGGCGGTTGGACAGAGGTGAGAACGGCAGAGACTATCTGGGTCACCGGCAGATTCAACCCAGCCGCCATACAGTCACTATCTAGCTACCCCGTCTGGTTGTGATCTCATCATAGGTCCTGGACTCGTGGGCTGTGTTCCCAGACCTTCACCTATCGACTGTCAATTCTCTGGTCATCTACCACTACCACACACCACGACCGTCAGTTCATCTCATTCCGTCTGTGCCCCGGTGTTCTCCTGCCATTTCAAGACGTCGCTCGAGTGTGGAGTTGAATGGAAGCTTCCCTACCCCGAGTGTGGATCACCTTGTTCCAGAACCTTCCCCCAGGGCCACTGCCGTAGGAAATATCTGTTCATTGTTTGATTCTTTCAGTTGTTGACTCCCATTAATTGTTTGATTCTATTAATTGCTGACTCCCTTTAATTGTTTGCTTCCATTAATTGTTTGACTCCATTAACTGTTGACTGCCTTAATTGTTTGACTCCCGTTGTTATTTGATGTTTGTTGAGTGGTGTCAGAGTTTTGTGTTATATTTTTTATAGTAAAGAGATGTCAATCTCAAACGGTTGTTTGTTATTCCTCAGAAAACCATGGTCCTTGACTTTCCTTAAATAAGAACCTGATTAGTCTGGTAAGGGATTTCTATCCCTAAGTCCCAGGCCTTTACATCGGTCTTTTCGGACTATTCCTTGACACTAGGTCATGCAACTCGTTAACTCAGGGTGTGGTTGTTGTGTTGGCGACAGCTTCTGCACCTTAAACAAATTCACGTCTGGGTGGCCCTTGGACCGGCCATCCTCGTTACACGAGGGGCAACCATTATTATTATTATATCGGTGATGTTTGTTGTGATACTCTGGAGTTTGAAATTGTAATTAGTGATGGTGATAGTGAAAGTTATATTGATGATAATGATGGTGATATTCTCGTATATTTAATGGTTGTGGTCAGTGATGGAAACATTCTAGGTGACTTAATAATAATGGTGAAGTCTTGCTCAATGGTTAACGTGATGGGAACACTTATTACAGTGTTTATTTTAGTGAAGTGATAATGATGGTTATATTTAATTATGGAGAGTTTTGAGTCACGTAGAGGTGGTGAGGAGAAGAGGATAAAGGTGGCGAGAAGAGGAGGATAAAGGTGGCGAGGGGAGGAGAATAAAGGTGGCGAGGAGGGCGGCAGATTAATTCAGGGCAGGATGCAAATGCACTACAGGAGGATTTAAATAAACTGCAGGAGTGGTCAGAAAAATGTCAAATGAAATCCAACACCAGCAAGTGCAGCGTACTTAATATTGGAAGAACAAATACTGTCAATGTATACAGCCTTAACAACATCAACCTAGAGAAGTCGACTTGTGAAAGAGACTTAGGGGTACTTGTAAGCCTGGACCTACGGCCTAGAAAACAGTGCGTTAATGTTCGAAATAAGGCAAACAGAGTATTAGGTTTTATATCTAGAAGTGTGAGTAATAAGAGTGCAGAGGTCTTATTGCAACTATATCTTGCTCTAGTCAGGCCGCACCTCGATTATGCGGTTCAGTTCTGGTGCCCTTATTATAGAATGGTTATCAATTCACTGGAGTCGGTGCAGCGAAGAATGACGAAAATGATTCCGGGACTTAGAAATCTTCCATATCAAGATAGGTTAAAGAAACTAAATTTGCATTCCCTAGAAAGACGAAGAGTGCGAGGAGATATGATAGAAGTATTTAAGTGGGTGAAAGATAAAGGAGATATAGATGAGGTTCTTATAATATCCGAGCAGGATAGGACCCGTAGCAACGGATTTAAGTTGGATAAGTTTAGGTTTAGGAGAGAGATAGGAAGGAACTGGTTCACAAATAGGGTAGTAGACGAGTGGAACAAGCTTAGCAACTTTGTAGTAAATGCTGGAACGTTTGAAAATTTTAAAAGGAGGCTGGATAGATTCATGGATGATAGAAGGCGGTAGTAACTCCCGACAGGAGCTGCCATGCACAGGCCAAACGGCCTATTGCAGACTCCTGTTCTTCTTATGTTCTTATAAAGGTGGCGAGGAGAAGAGGATAAAGATAGCGAGGAGAAGAGGATAAAGGTGGCGAGTAGAGGAGGATGAAGGTGGCGAGAAGAGGAGGATAAAGATGGCGAGGATAAAGGTGGCGAGGAGAGTAGGATAAAGGTGGCGAGGAGGTGAATGATAAAGGTGGCGAGTAGAGGAGGATAAGGGTGGCGAGGAGAGGAGGAACATCATCACATGGGGAGCATCAGCACAGGAAGAGCATCACCACAGGGAGAGCAACACCACAGGAGGAGCATCACCACAGGGGGAGCATCACCATCGGGAAACTTCATCACAGGGGATCATCACCACAGGGAGAGCAACACCAAAGAGGGAGCATCATCACAAGGGGAGCATCACCACAGGAGGAGCATCATCACAGGAAGAGCAACACCACAGGGGGAACATCACCACATGGGGTTTTTTCACCACAGGGGGAACATCACCACATGGGGAACATCACCACAGGGGAACATCACCATAGGGGATCATCACCACAGGGAAAGCAACACCACAGGGGAAACATCACCACATGGGGAGCATCACCACAGGGGGAGCATCACTACAGGGGCATACTCACCACAGGGGATCATCACCACAGGGGATCATCACCACGGGGACCATCACCACGGGGGACCATCACCACAAGTGGGGCAGGTGGGGCATCACCACAGGGGGATCATCACCACAGGGAAGCATCACCACGGGGAAGCATCACCACAGAGCACGATGAACATAACATGATAATGATAGTGAAGCCTGGAAGGGTTCATATCATAACTTGTGTGTTCGTGCGTATGTTGCCCCGTGAGAGTTACCGTGGGCCTCCATGTGCCCAGGTGGGATGGTCAAAGTATTATTCTATAAGTGTGTCAAATGAGTGACTGACCCACATGTAATTTAAGGTTTTTGAAATATGTAGTTAAATTAAACACGATTTTTCATATAGTTACGCGAATGATGGGAAATAAAAGATATAGATGGGGTGTGGTGGAAGCGCTGTAAACGTTGTGTGGACTCACTGGGTGGTTTGGAAGTCTTTAAGAACATAAGAACATAAGAATGGAGGAAACTGCAGCGGGCCTATTGGCCCATACGGGGCAGTCCCGTTTACACCCAACCCCTATTGCTCATATGAGCATCCAACCTATGTTTGAAGCAATTCAACGTATTCGAGTTAATGATGATATTTGGTAACTTGTTCCATTCATCCACTACTCTGTTTTCAAACCAGTGTTTACCTATTTCACGCCTAAATCTAAATTTGTCTAATTTAAAACCATTGTTACGAGTTCGCTCCTGGTTGGTTAGTTTGAGTACCTTTGTAATGTCCCCTTTGTTTAGCCCTGCCTTCCACTTATACACCTCTATCAGGTCGCCCCTCGCTCTACGTCTCTCGAGGGAGTGCAAATTAAGATACTTTAACCTGTCTCTATAGGTTCCAATGCCGGTTAGTCTTGTCATTCGCCTCTGAATTCTTTCCAAGGATTCTATATCCATTCTGTAATACGGTGACCAGAACTGAACTGCGTAATCAGGTGTGGTCTCCACAAAGCAAGATACAGTTTTAGGATGACCTCGCTAGTCTTGTAACTAACACTCCTTTGTATGACAATTACTTTATTAGCCTTGTTACGAGCAAAAACACATTGTTTACTTGGCTTAGGTTCCTACTTATCATTACTCCTAAATCTCTCTCGCAGTCGGATTTCTCTATGGCATCGTTGCTCATCTGGTATCTGGTTTCCCTGTTTACATATCCTATACTGAGTACTTTACATTTGTCGACGTTGAATTTCATCTGCCATTTTCAGACCATTCGAAAAATTTGTTTAGATCTTCCTGTATTTTGCCGAGTCCTCGTCAGATTTGACATCCTATTTTAGTGTCATCAGCAAATTTACTTATGTTGCTGTCTATGCCGATATCTACCTGTATGTCGTTTATGTATATAATAAACAATAATGGTCCAAGTACTGAGCCTTGGGGAACTCCACTTGTGACGTTCCATTCATACTTTCGTAACTACAACCTATGGTAATTTTTCTTCGTGTTCATATATAATGAAGATAATGAAGAGTATAAAATGCCATATACAATATTTATACATAATATCATCTATACAGCTGTACTATGACTGTGTGTGTTCGTGCGTGTGTTGCCTCGTGATAGAGTGGGCCCCCGTCCAGAAAGGACACTGTACTAACCTCCAGCACTGACCCAGGAGGGCAAGAGAATATGGTTCGAGTGTACGTATGTTACTCTCATTGCCCCCACTAGAGTCAAACTTGGACAAGAGGGGTGATGCTTCCCTGTGGTGATGCTCCCCCTGTGGTGATGCTCCCCTTGTGGTAATGCTCAACCCTGTGGTAATGCATCCCCTGTGGGGATGCTCTTCTTGTATGTGCTCAACCCTGTGGTATTAGGGTGTGTCATAGGAGGGAAGATCAGCTAAAACTAATGGCCCATCACTTTTTTGGTAGATTTTAGTGTATATAAACAGAAAAATTTCAGTTTCAATATTTTGCAACCTTTTGCTAGGTAAATTTTAGCGTGAAATTTATCGAAAATCTAACGTACAGCTGCGTAGTGCATTACAATTAAATAGTGAACATTGCTTTTCTGACTTCATT